TAAGTGAAATAAGTCATACAGAGGAAGACAGATACTATATGTTTTCACTCTTATGTGGATCCTGAGAAACTTAACAGAAACCCATGGGGGAGGGGAAGGAAAAAAAAAGAAAAAGAGGTTAGAGTGGGAGAGAGCCAAAGCATAAGAGACTCTTAAAAACTAGAACAAACTGAGGGCTGATGGGGGGTGGGAGGGAGGGGAGGGTGGGTGATGGGTATTGAGGAGGGCACCTGTTGGGATGAGCACTGGGTGTTGTATGGAAACCAATATGACAATAAATTTCATATGAAAAAATAATGAAAAATATATAGTAAACACAGAAAAATATAGAAGTACATATTATGAAACCCTCTCTGAAAGATTCGAGCGATTTCTAGTTCCAAAAGCCTTTGACTTGGAGGTATTACATTCAGGTCCCATTGACACGTGGACACTGTTTTCTTATTGTCTTGGAGGCTGATCTGACTCTTGGCTCGGAGACTAGACCCCCTTCTCATCTCAGTCACGTGGCTCATCTGAGCCCCACACTAACACACCAAGCACCCATCAGTCCGTATGTTGAAGAGTAATGCTTAACTCCGCACATGTCGGGCTAGGGGGATGGTGGAAGACGTTGTCAAGCCTGAGCAAGATTTTCTCCACCATAGAATGTGTTTATTCATATATTCTTTTAAATGGCCAGGTGAGGCTCTTTCAGAGATGGAAATCGCTAAATCCTCACTGATCTGGTGTTTTGACTTTCCAGGGTACCCAGAAAATATGCCTCCCGTACAGTCCCACAAAAACTCTCTCTGTGAAGTCCATCTTAAGGTGAGTACTCATGAATAGAAACCCAACACCAGGAGCCTTTATAAGTATTCTGCTCCTGCAATCATCTGATGTTACTTTTCTACTTTCTGGAGCCTTGACCACATAGCAGACATTTTGCCAAGCATCTGACTTGCATTACCTCCTGCATGTCAGCGTCTTCACAGCAAGTCTGTAGGACGGGTGCTGCGATCCTCCCCACTGTGCGGCGGAAGAAATGGAAGCTCAGAGAAAGCCAAGATCATACAGCGAGTGTGTGGTGAAAATTGAGCTCCCCTCTTACGCATCTCCAAACTGCCTGCGTGGCTGCCTTCTTTTTTCTTGCATGCATGCAGATACTTTGGTTTCATAAACAAAATCAAGAAATATTTTTCCTCTCATTTTCCTGCTTTGAAACAGAAACTCATATGTCAGCAAATGCTTCTCAGGGAAGAATGTCCTTATTCTTTGCAAAGAGACAGTTAAATGAATGGAACATCCAGCTGCTCTGTGCTCGGCTGGGGCTCTGCCCCCACCTCTCCACCCTGCCTCGTGTCACCCCTCCCCCCCCATACCGGATGCCAGACACCCCTAGGAATGCCACCGCTCAGGGGCTACCTGTTGCCCTGTCACCATCCGAGAGGTTACATTGTAGTAACGGTAGCTTCTTAGGCACAGCGCTAAATGCTCTACGGACATTCTCTTAGAAAGTCTTTAAGTTTTTAATGTTTATTTATTTTTGAAAGAGAGAGTATGAGCTGGAGAGGGGCAGAGAGAGAATGGAGACACAGAACGCGAGGCAGGCTCCAGGCTCTGAGCTCTCAGCACAAAGCCCAACGCAGGGCTCAAACTCATAAACTGTGAGATCATGACCTGAGCCAAAGTCTGATGCTTAACCAACTAAGCTACCCAGGCGCCCCTCTTAGAAAGTCTTTAGACCACCTCCACAGAGTAGATCTGTTACCACCTACACTCCACCAAGGAAGGATCACAGCCTCCGAGAAGTGAAGGGATTGGACAGAGATCTCACAACTGGTAAACCACAGAGCTGGGATTTAAACCCAGGTCCCGGTCATTCCCAGGCTTGGGCCTTTAGCCACTAAAGCCCGTGTTGTGTGAATATAAACGCCTATCCCAGGGCCCTGTGGTTTACTCTCTGTTCATCGGCAGCTAGGTGGTGGGAAGAGATCGTGTCCTCAGTGTCCCAGCCACAATGCACACTTGTCAGAAACATCTCTTAAATGGAGGGACAGTCTTGACTCCATTAGTTAGGGACCACATCTGGCTGATGAAGGGCACTGAGTTCAGAAGTAAAAATGTTCATATCTCATTTTCAAGCTTGATTTGCTCTTCAAATTGCAGGCCTTCTCCTTTCTGCTCTAGGCCTTCTGACTTTTCTCCTGAGCAGTCTGAAGCCTGAGCTATGAAAGCATCAGTGGAGAGGTTAACATTTTTATCAAGCACAGAAATACCTTGCTGCTTCTAAGGAGCTATAAATCTTAACCGGCTTTGAGAAGAACACTTAGAATTACACTGGCTTCCGATTTCTGTGACTTTTTTTTTTCCTAAAAAGAAGTTACTCCAGCTTCTTTATATTTAAGGACAAGTTTCATTTAGTCATGACCTCATTTAGTCCTGTGAGTAGGGCCTCCGCTTCTCAGCCCACCGCTCTGTAGCCAGAGCACAGAGGAAACATTTCAGCCAGGAAACACTTTTTTTTTTAAAGACGTGGAAGAGCAAAACGTCTCCAGTTGCTGCCGATAGAAGAAAAGATTTTATCTTTATTTGTTACCACCATGAACTTGAAAACTTTTTAAAAGGAAATGAAACCGTGAATACTGTGGAGTCAGGTAAGTCTGGGTTCAGATCTTGGCTCTGCTCCTTACCAGCTTTGTCATCCTAGTTCAATTTCCTCACCTTTAAAATGGGGATAGAAGAGTACTCACCTCATAGAGACAAAATGAGATCATCCACGTAAAGCATTTAGCAGGGTGCCCGGCATATAGTAAGTACTCCATAAAGATAAGCTATTATTATGTTTGCCTTTCATTTACAAATACGGGACTCCTAGATGAAAGGGGCCTCGGGGGTTGGGGAGTTCAACTCCCTGTTTTATTTAATTAATTAATTAAGTGTTTATTTTTGAGAGTGACAGGGACAGAATGCGAGTGGGTTAGGGGCAGAGAGAGAGGGAGACACAGACTCCGAAGCAGGCTCCAGGCTCTGAGCTGTCGGCACAGAGCCTGACACGGGGCTCAAACTCACAAGCTGTGAGATCATGACCGGAGCCGAAGTCAGACACTGGACCGACTGAGCCACCCAGGCGCCCCTCAACTCCCTGTTTTAACGTCTAGAGGAACTTAGGCCCAAGGAGGTTGGCATTGCTTTGCAAAGTAAAACATGAAAGAACGAGCTTGTGAAGGGGAGGCCTTTTTGCCCTGAGTGGCAGAAGAATGGCCAGAGGAAGAAAGAAATGCCCAGTGGGCTTCATTACATTTCATTTTGTCATAATTGCTACGGAAATGTCCATGAATCGCTTTTTTAGTAAATAAAAGTAAGAATCTTGAAGGTTAGGTTGCCCAAAATATGCTCCTGATTGCTCCCCTCCTCTCTTACTAGATGAGTGTCATTAAGGGGCAGTTCTATAAGGAAAGTACAGTGCCGTGTTTGGTTACCCTCATGCATTCATTCATTGAGCACCCCGTGTGATCATTGATTTCCTGTGTGCCAGGCCCTCAAGGGAGTCCAGCTGTGATTTTCTAGAAGCTTGTTCGTAGTTTCTCTGAAGCCCTGTGACTTGCGCCACCACGCTACGGCTCATTCTCTCCGTTCTATTTCAGTGCCATGAATCTGGACAAATTTGAGAAAGGCCCCAGAGAAATTTTTCATCCCGAGATCCAAAAGGTAACACAAGTTTTTTGCTTCATAATGGTGTATGTTTGGTCACAATGTTAGAACAGACAGATCATCAGTGATTCTTGGCCTAGGATATGAGCATAAGCAGAATCACCTATGAGGCTTTGAAAAATAATCATAAAGAACCTCGCAGCTGAGATTCTGATTTGTCAAGTGGGGGTGGGAATCTGCATTTTTCACAAGTCCCACAAATGATTCTGAGGCATAGCCACAACTGAGAACTGCTGAACTAATACGGTCCTTGATCCATGAACCAAAAGGGTGTATGTTCAGAACGACCTTACTGGGTTAAAAGCCAGTCTTTTTACTCAGCGATGTAGAATGTATGGAACATGAGATTTTTTTTAAGTAGCAAAACACAAAATGTGTTTATTGAGCTCTAACTCCAATAGAACACCATAGACGATAGAAGGTATCCAGAATCCATCCTGTTTTCTCAAGACTTAAGGGAAAGCAGTCTGCCTTGGGAGAAAAAATTTCAGACTCATAATCTAGTAAAGGACCATCAGAAAAATGTCAGCCAAACTTCTGTCTTGTCTCAATTAATTTAGCTTTGAAATTCTCCCCTTGAAACTTACGAATGCAGCCATCACATAGTGCCGGCTGTGTGTCAAAGCTGAGCTTAAAGGGACTGGGTACACCAAGGCCGGTGACAGGGAAGAGGCTAGAGAGTCAGGCTGGAATCCTAGCTAGGAGGCAGTGGAGAGCCTGTGGAATCTTTAAGTAGAGAAACATCGTGCTTAGTCCTCTTTTCAGGGAAATAATTCAGATGTTATGGGGAGGAGAGAGGGGAGCATGAGTAGTCTTTGCTTGCATACCTTCAAAATCGTTAGCTTTTAAAATAAACTTATCGGGGGCACCTGGGTGGCTCAGTTGGTCAAGTGTCCGACTTTGGCTCAGGTCACGATCTCACAGTTCGTGGGTCTAAGTCCTATGTCGGACTCTGTGCTGACACCTCAGAGCCTGGACCTTGCTTCAGATTCTGTGTCTTCTCTCTCTACCCCTCCCCTGCTCATGCTCTCTCTCTGTCTCTCAAAAACACATAAAAGTTTAAAAAAAATTTTTAATTATAAAATAAATAAAATAAACATTGGCTCTCAGCTTACCCCAAATACATAAAGTTGTGAATTCCCCATATCTTCTGTTTTATTAAGACAGTATTTGTACACTAACTCAACTCCAGAAGGAACTGAGGCCAAAATGGGTGTATGCGGTTAAACTTTAAGCAACTTTAAGCTATGCAGTGCTTAAAACTAATTCTTTATATCAGATTTTCAAACAACTGGGAATTATTAATATGCTACCATCAATGTGCCTTTATTCTTTCATCTGTACAGGCTATCATACTCTTTTTTTTTTTAAGGTAAGGGATTTTTTAATGTTTTCTTTATAATTAAAAAACATTTTTTTAACATTTATTTATTTTTGAGAGAGAGAGAGTACAAGCAGGGAAGGGGGAGAGAGAGAGGGAGACGTGGAATCTATAGCAGGCTCCAGGCTCTGAGCTGTCAGCACAGAGCCCGACGTGGGGCTCGAACTGACAGACCGTGAGATCATGACCTGCGCCAAAATCATATGCTTATTAATTGACTAAGCCACCCAGGCGCCCCTTTTTTAGAATTTTTTTAAATATTTTTGAGAGACAGCATGAGCAGGGGAGGGGCAGAGAGAGAGGGGGAGAGAGAGAGAATCCCAAGCAAGCTCTGCACTTGTCCGACACAGGGCTCGATCTCATGAACCACGAGATCATGACCTAAACCAAAATCAAGAGTCAGATGTTCAACCAACTGAGCCACCCAGGTACATTTGAGTCAGATGTTCAACTGACTGAGCTACCCAGGTACCCCTAATGTTTATTTATTTTGAGAGAGAGAGAGAGAGAGAGGGAGGGAGGGAAGGAAGGAGGGAGGGAGGGAGAAAGAAAGAGAGGCAGCGCATGCATGGGAGGGGGGCAGAGAGAGAGAGGGAGAGGATCCCAAGCAGGCTCCACCCTGTCAGCACAGCACTCAGTCTGACCTGGGGCTCGATCCCATGGTTCGTGAGATTATGACCTGAGCCAAAATCAAGAGTCAGACACTCAACCAACTGAGCCACCCGGGCGCCCCCAAGTTATCAATATTCTTAATCCTTTCCTTCTTGGAGCCTGGATAGGACCCCCAGACACAGGGCCCCAAATCCACGGAGCCCATGGGATGCTTCTATCAGCATCTTGCCGCTGAGCAGATATCCTCAACAGACTTCATCTCTGCTAAGTCATCCCTGTCTGATTTCCCTCTTCCAACAAAATCAAAGAGGACAAGATAACAAAATACGGAAGCCTTCTGCCTATTTATATCATAACTCTGTGCCTGTTTTTCACCAAACAAAAGACACCTTCAGCTTCCCCGACATCTGCGTTTTGACTTTCTTTCCCTTAACAGGGGGCCACCCACGCGCCCTCCTCTATTCTGGGTGTGTGAGTGTGCACCTGTGTGTGCCCCTCGGTAGTGGTGGTTTCACAGCTGCCACCGTCTCCTGTAGATGTACCTGAAGAAGCCTTGAGCCACAGGCGTTAGGGAGAAGAGAAGGAAAGCGGTCTTGGATCCAAAAAGTAAACCAAAAACAAACCGATCGCATTATGAAGAAGGCATCTTTCCACCAAGCAGGAAGGTGGCTGATGCTATTTAAAAATGTTACTCGCCTTTTTCTGGCTGCTATACTATATAGTTACATTTATCTTGGCCAAAATCTTCCAGAAGCCATGTGTGATAAGCTAGCTTTAAATAGATGGAGAAACCCGGGTGTCTGTGTGTTTCTTCCCATTGCGACACAGTCTTTTGTTCCCAGATAGCTGTGCTATCGTGTGACTTTCCTAGATGGCCAGGTATTTTACAAAAATCTGCACAACTAAATTTGAATTTTTTAAGCACTTCTAGGTGAGGAAATGCTGTAAACTGAAGCTTGGCTTTCACAGGAAGTCAAAATAAAATCGTTACTGTGAAGCATGGACCTAACTTTCAAATCTTCGTTTGACAGGACTTGCTGGTTCTTGAAGAACAAGAGGTAAGTAATTTTATGAGAAATTTGTTCCTGCTGTGTTCTGCCTCACCCTTCACCATGACCATGACCTTTTCTTTCAGTCAAACCTCTCTACGTGGATTTGCTCGGTGAGCAAATTATTAGCATGGAAAGACTTTCCTGACATTTTTTTCCAAGGTACATTTCAGAATTTCCTGTGCAGCGAGCCATAAAGACATAAAAGGAAGCTACTTAAATCCGCTCGGAAATATTCAAATTTTACCCTTGTAATCAGGGCGAGTAATGAGGTTTTAATTTTCATGAAGTCAAAGGGTGTTAGTGCTTGACTGGCACACTCGATTTACTGACATCATATTTATTCTCACATTTCCATTCCCTGTTGCCCCACTTTTAAAATTTTTTTTAATGTTTATTTATTTTTGAGACAGAGACAGAGCAAGGGAGGGTCAGAGAGACAGGGAGACACAGAGTCCAAAGCAGGCTCCAGGCTCTGAGCTGTCAGCACAGAGCTCGACGCAGGGCTCGAACTCATGGACCGTGAGATCATGACCTGAGCCGAAGTCGGACGCTTAACCGACTGAGCCACCCAGGTGCCTGTTGCCCCACTTTTAAAAAAATGTCCTGGGTTTTCTAAGTACATCACTAACATAGGGAAATAATCAAAACGTTGTCAATAGGCAACTGAGTAGTTCAATTATAATTTTTGCGTACCGTGCCTGTCAGTAAATGACCGTAGCATTCGGCCAGTTGCTCAGGCCACACTTGGAAAAGCCCTTAACACCTCTCTTTCCCTCTCACCCCAAATCTAATCCTTCAGCACATCCTATGACGATTTCTTCAACATATATCCCAAATTTGAACATTTCTCAAACTTTCCACCACGATGCTCTGATCCCTTGAACCACCCCCACCGTCTCTCACCTGCACTGTGCAGAACTTCCGGCTTTCAGCTTCCCCTCTCTTCTCTTTCTCGTCTGGCATCATCCAAATGGTCCTTTTAAACGTCAAGCCAGGTCATCCCTACGTTGCAGGCTCTCATGGCTTTCCATCCCTCTCCAAGTAAAGCCCCAAGTCCTCCCCGGCCTCCTGGGGCCTGCGTGACCCAGCCCTGCTACTTCTCTGGTCCTCTCCTCCACACTAACCGCGTGTACTTGCTTACTCCTCATCTGCCCTGGGAGGGCCCACCCCCTAGGATGCCCCTCCCCAGATGTCCTCAGGGCCACACCCTTTCCTTGATTAGGGTCTCTGCTTGGAGAGGCTGTCCTTGCTCACCCTCTAAAATAGCACACCCTGCCTCTTACCCTCTGCCCTAGAAGCTGCTCTGTGTTTCTTCTGGACACTTCTATTTTCATTTGCACACTTTGTACCACTAGAACATAAGCAGCATGAGAGCTGGGTGGAACTTAATCAATTTGTTCACTGCCTTATCCCCAGATCCTAGAGCAGTGGAGAGAGGGCACAGAGTAAATATTTGTTGCTTGAATAAGTGGATTATGTATTGATTAAATGAATTATGAAAAACAATGATGCCATTGAGAAGAATGAGGTAGGGGCGTCTGGGTGGCTCAACCATCTAGGCTGGTTGAGCGTCCGACTCTTGATTTCAGCTCAGGTCATGATC